TAGTATATTCATGAATGATATTCTTGCTATCCGATCTTTTTATGAAAATATTCAAATTGTATTCCATTTCTACCAAACTATAATAGTATCTAATAACAGTAACTCAGGTGGATTGTCCTGACTTCTAGTGCTAAACTGAGTAGAGGGTATACGGTAAGTATGGGAAATACATGATAACGTGATATCTGTACTTCTATTCACAATTATAGGCGACAGTTACCATCAGGTATCACGTCAGCTTCTTTACCATTTCAATTACATAAAAAAATAATATTTCTAATATTATAAACGCGAAAGTTGGTGAGTATGGATGGATGGATGTTCGTTACTCTTTCACGCAAAAACTACTGAATGGATTTTGATGAAACTTTATACGCCCGAATAATACATAGGCTATAAATTTCATGCGGGTGAAAGTGCGGGCACAGCTAGTTATTTATATTTTTTATTGTATAAATACAAGTTTGTAGCTGTTCCACTCCGCGGACGGCACTGTTACAGTTTCTATTTGCTCGTTCCGTGTTATCTTTATCCAGCTAGTACGGTTTAATTTAATATGCGCCGTTACGGACTTGGTTAAGGTTGTACAACAAACAAACTGCGGCCTAAGGTTCACTTGATACGCTCTCGGCAACTTTTGCCAATTTCTTGAACCACTTTGGCTGGCTTGCTTCAATTCTGTAGCTCCGCGCTGCGCCAGCTACCAACTTAAATAAAGTAGAAGTTTAATAAAGGAATTTATTTTTACTCGTGTTACATTTGACTCGATTATATTTTTACTTATCTATACATATAAATGAAATTGGAGTGTCTGTTTGTAATATTGAAATAACCGATTTTTACTACATGCATATGAATATAATTGCGGTAGATACACTAAAATAACATTGTCTAAAATTTTTGTCTATCTATCTGTTTGTTCCGGCTAATCTCTGAAATGGATGGACCGATTTTGGTGGGACTTTTTTTAGCAGATAGCTGATGTAATAAGGAGTAACTTAGGCTAGTTTTATTGTAGAAAAATAAAGTTAAATTCCAGGCAGACTAAGTCGCGGGAATAGCTAGTTTATCTATTATAGTCTATTAAATTATAATAAATTACAATAAAAAAAACTTATTACTCTAATGCAGAGTTCTTAACAGATAACTATTTCATGTACGTGTATAATAATTATCAATTTCAACTAATTCTTATAAACTAATTATACTATACTATTATATGTACACTTATTGCATCGATCTGGGCGTTCTCTATGTATAATATGTATCTATTTACGAATAAAATAATCTATGTATTTGCATTAGTTTTATAGTACCCACAACACAGCTCTAGCTAGCTTAACTTGGGTCTAGATGGCGCTGTGTGAATTGTCTTGAGATTATTATTATTATTATACATTCTGTAAATTAATATGTTGCGTCTTCCCATCTCTCTTATCATATTTCACTCTTTCGCTTCGCTACCACACTTGGCAGCATTGGTATACTGACAGAATTTGAATTGTTATATTTCTAATTTCTAAATTACACAAAATTTATGATCAAAGCGGTTGTCTAGGTACCCGCTCCCTGAAATTGATGAAACATATCACAATGCATATCTTGTAACCACCCTCCATAATTGAACATTGTAATTGGTTTGTCTTTTATGCCTGTAGATTAATTATATACGAGACTGGTTTTTATGCCAACAGAAATGTCGCTACTTTAATTAAGTAGGTTTTACAAACTTTATTGTAAAATTTGAATTTCTGTTATATGAAGTTTTATAATTTATATTTTAAAATACATCCATAAGATAATTATACTAAGTACCATTATCATTTAAAATGGGCGAAAACTGGTGACATTAAATATTGAGAGTTAATCACTCATTTATCATTGTATCATCTTTGATTAATTGGTACTCGCTGAATGCATTCTACTTGATATTATCGCCTCTATCCTTTAATGAGTAAGAGAGGTAATGGCATGGCACCATGCACTGGAGTCAGGACAATCTGTCATATGTTATTATTTAATGTAAGCTAACCTAAATCACAACGTATGAGTGATATTCTGGGCGTTACATATGTATATCGTGAGGTACTGTACAATTGTAAATGTATTCAGGTTACAATTATTACTTACGGGAGGGATAGGGGATTATTATTAATGTGGACTAATAATGTCATTGCTAGTAATGCCATGACAAGTTGACCTCCAACTGGTACCCCTAGAAACCATTGTGATAAATTCATGGTGAATTTATCACAGTGGGCTAGCTGACCTGATATCATGCTCATCTTATCAAACTCCACTGGTGCCCCGCCAGCGTAGTATATGGTGCCCCCATAAGAATTGTCACTTACAAATATGTGAGCTGTTTGCTTGTTTAATATTCTATTTACATTAAAATAATTTCAAAATACATACCTATATAGTACCCGATATTAATTACATAGATTAAAATACAAACTATTAGAAGTTACCCGACAAACTATAATCAATTCAAAGGATTAAGGTGGTTGATCTGTTTCGGAGTTAATGATCCAGCAAGCTCGTGTGTTCCCTAATCCTGGGTTGGGCACTTAATCTGACCAGATTTTGTGCTGTACTATTATCGCCTGAATTGTAAGTCAATCAGGTTTACGACTAAGCAGGTAGGCTATCTACAGTCGTAAATAAATACCACCAATAATTACCTTGGTTGGAAGAAGCATTCCTCGTGGTCACGATCCTCAGCCTTGAATAATTACCTGAATTATATGTACTCAAAAATATTTAATCGGTAGTAATGTAAATTAATTAGTATTAAGCAGAAGGGATAGGATCTAGTGGGCAAATTAAAAAATACTTAACCGATTAATAAATATTATCCTACAGGTGATTCTTTTATCAGCGAGCGACGTAAATTGGTAATTTAGTATCAATAGAAATATTATTAAAGTGAAAACGTGTCTATTTGTCTGCTTATTACATTTTGTCGACACTTCAAAGAATGTTAATGAAAGTATTAAGAACACTAGTGTACATTATCTTTTATTTTAAAAAAAGACAATCAGTCGCGGTGGCATAATAATTACTTTGTCCAGTGGAAAGTTATTGATACCAACCACGAAAAACTAGAGTAATACGTTAGTAGTAATATTATTATTATTTCGTATGTAAATTATAACCGAAATTTCTTTATTTATGTACGTCTATTACAGATACTTACGGTAACTAAAATCTGCCGTATCAGTTTGATTTTTAGATTTGTTCGATTCAAAATAACACAATACTAGTAGTAGGCAAATCAAAACCAAAAAACAGTAACAAAGCGATTCGAGTATATAAAATAAAGGACCCCATTACTTAGAGTGAATACATAATATTACATGTGAATAACAAACATGATTCATGATAAAAGTCACATGTTCTCATTAAATACATAAAGAATTTCGTGCCACAATTACTATTAAGAAGTAGTATTAAAAAGTATTAAATAGACTAAACTAAGGAACAGGACATTATCGATTATATACGAATCAAGAGTAACCTGACATTGACGTAGCTGGAGTCGAGCCACAATACTAGTTTCAAGGCGTTTGCGGCCCGGGTCCCCACCAACATGCTGCTCAACTTTATGAACTAGGACTACTGGCCGAAGGAACTACGAGTTCTACTTATTTTTATACTACTATGGTGGCAAAAAAGCATACGGCCCACCTTGTTGTAAATGGTTACCATATCCTATGGACGCCTGAAACACCAGGAGTGTTACGTGCGCGTGGCCGACTATTACTATTGAAAAGGTGACAAACTATCAGACAGATACACTTTAGTATTTATAATCTTAGATGGATTTACTATAAGAATTATTGTACATTAAAATGATTGAATTTACAGTCAGTCAGTACATACAGTATTGATCGGGTCGCCAGACGATCCGACACGCCGGGGACCATACTTCTTCAATTATTCAACCATCTACTTCCGTAGAGCCTGATCGTTACATCTCCGCTACTTTGATGTTGCCAGGTATGACGGTTTTTGTGGTACGTTTTAGGATACGGGTACTTCCAGTTTGATGAAAATATCGCGTAAGGTGAACAAAAAATAGAGCAGATTTAGTTTTCTTCTGTCTTAGGTACAAATTATTCCAAAATTTTTGGAATCATTTAAAAAAACAACACGAATGTAATGTGTCATTGAAGTCTCACCACAGATAAGATAATATTACATAGTCTCACAAACATTCACTAAAATAATCATAAAAAACTTGTTACTCAAACACTAACACTTTTGTAAACATATATATGTTTTTAGGTATAGTAATGTGGATTGATGACATGACATGACTAAACAAATAATTTAATTAGGACCAATAATGAACCAGGATAATGAACTACTAGTGAGTATCATTAGTATAAATAATAATCACATCATAATATTAGATATACAATTCACACATTGTAATTATGATAATAAGTGTATAATCTAGGTATGATTATTATTACATTACCAGAAATAATAATTGGAGCTATGCAGATGACATACTTTTAGAGGCGACGGTGTTTTTGCTACAGCATGGCGATTCTGTTGCAACTTAATGTTGCAGGAGTCAGAGGCGCTGGATCGCGATTTTGCAAATATTGTATTCTATTCAATCCCTACTATATTAGATAAAACGTAGTACTAAATTGATACAAAAATTAAAAAAAGCTTTTTAATGTATCATTACATGAGTCCTCCGTTTTTTATATCAATTATTTTCCGTTCTATAAAATACAGTTCAGTATCTATTTTTATTTCTTTGTACGGAATCGTAATATAAGATTAAAGTTGGGTCCAAACGATCAACATAATGCCTATGATAATATTCCAATATTTTCATAGTACTATATATAGCATTATATCAAATTACAGAGATTAACTTTATAATATACACGAAATAATCTTACCTCAATTCTTTGTACCTATGTGTAATGATATGACATTATTCTATTGACTTTTGAGTAAGGCTACAAGTGGACGTCATGATATCAAATATTTTATTTTTAACTTTAATGTGTATATGGAGTGTAGCAAGTGACTTAGAAGCGGTTAATGGAAGAATTAAAATTACAACATTGACAACTGCAGGATGTATCCCTACACGTAATTTTATTACTAACCAACTGACTCCGACTTATGCAGTATATGGAGAATACCTGGATATCGAATATGTGCCTTGGGGAAGAACTACACGTCATCCCAATGGTACATATGATAATTGTCAGTTTTCACCAAATAACTGCTGGGCTAATCGCCTACATAGATGCGTGTTAAATTTTCTGAAAGACAATCAAGATGCTCAAGTGAAATATATGGGTTGTGAGTTCGGCATACCACAGCCAGCGTTTGAAGAGAGCAGCTATATTTGCGCTCAAAACGAGGGGCTCAATTTGGTAGAAGTCGATTACTGTGTGAGACATCCTTTCCTAGATGATTTGGACGACATTGCAGAAGAAGCATCAAGAGCACCAATGGATCCGGTTGAAGGAATAAATAGTTTACCTGTAATAGTTTTTAACGATACGATTGACATGAGACTTCATACACAAGCCAGAGATCGATTGCAAAATATGGTATGCCTTGCGTTAGGCAACAGTAATGATACTGCTATATCGATTTCATCTTGTCAAAAAACTGAAACTGGATAACCCTTATCCCAACTTCGATTTATATTACGTTGACACTATTCACTAACCATTAATATGCGCAAAATTGAATAAATAATATTAGTTAAAAAAAAGGGCTGCTAAATATGTTTGTTGCTTTTTATTAAATACAAGTACCTCTATTATACCCGAAATAATGATTGTTATAGCTTTTTATACTCATATATTAATGTGTTTCATTAAAGGTACTTATTTTTTATGAATTAGTGTAGTAAATTTTGCGTCACAATGACGAACTGTATTCTAAAACCTGCGAATTAAACATATAGTCTTATTTTTTAATTTATATGGCACAATGGATGTTGCAATATATAGTTATTATACATCTCTTTTTTTGTAACCTTTTACAATTTTATTTTTCCACTCTTTCAGCTATTTTTACAGGTAGACTAATACAATTGTGTAACAAATACATACATATTTTATGATTAGATATAGCTTTGATATAAGCTATAACTAATTATAAAATATATATAGCGATATATATAGCGATCTTAGTTAATTTATTCAGAAAACAAGAAAACAGATCTATTTAGTCAGCTGTATGATTAATGTATACAGTGGCCATGCCGGTCATGAATTGTCATAATAAAAAGGTTCGCTCTATATTTGTACACTTTATTTTACACATATGTATTTAACTTCTCACCTATATATAAAACTGACTAATACATCCCTGTAAAAGGATTGTTATTACATGGTCGTTACCGAGGTAGATTTTGTAAAAGTCTCTCATAGATGACTACCTCATTCTCACCTGTTTGAACCACCAAGCAATTTGCTTTGTAACCTATCTTTCCATTGTGCGGTGAGACTAGGCAGCGAAATTACAGGAGGTTTTTAGAAGGATCTTAGTTTATTGGAATGTCCGCATAGTAATGTGTAGGCGATCTATATTGTTCATTTATAGGCGAATGTCACTAATCGTCACAAACTCAGCCGCCAGCTTAATTCCAAAAGTATACTGTTTTAAATTTAATTAACTTTAATTTTATTTGCCTATAAAAAAAGATTTTATTTACCATCTACCCGCTGCTCTTTAGTTCCCGTAATCATGTTGGATAAAATTCTGCCCAAATATCGGGAACTCAATTAAAATAAAACGTGGTAAGATCCCGTGATTTGTACTAATTGTATCACTGGTGCTGCCAATTTACTATGATATGTCGATCCCTGGAAACTATGTTAGATAATAATTATATTAGATAATTTATACTACTATAGGCCAAAATTTATGCTACTACTTTAAAATCCTCCCTTGATGCCTTGATTCGCAGATGTGGTTATGGTTTTCCACAATTATCTATTCCAATGATATATCATTGCTGATTATTTTATATTATTTCTATAATAATGATTGGATTTTATTGATTACATGTAGTATACTAAAGTCGGTACCTATTAATCGCCACTGCATTATGACTGAGCACAATTATGACAAATTCATAACAAAATCGGCCTTTTAAATACATTATCATTGGAAAATGATTTATTAATTATAAATCCTAGTAATTAGCAATAATTAACAATTTCTATACCTACTTTTTTAAATTGTAATTTAATATAATATTAAGTGTCCTTATCGCCCAATAAAATAATTCTATTGATCTGAATATATAAATTGCAATATTAAATATAGTAACAAATCAGTTAAACAATGCACAATTACTTAATTGTAATAAATATTGTAATTGTGCATCCATAAGGCCATAAGGCCGCCTTAATGTATTAAAATTATTTTCAGGAGTGATCCTGAAAATAGAAAGAAGTCAATTTTGAAGAAACGTGGTTATATGCAAAAGAAGGTGATGACGATAATAATAATAATCAAATGTATGCAAATAATAATAACTGAAATTAACTAGACACCGGTATGTTAAATACATATAGTAATAATAATAATCCAGTACAATTAACACGATGCCATCTACTCGTAGTCACAAGCTAAGCAGAGCTTGTGTTATGAGTATTAGAATAGTACTTTCTTTTTGTAGATACGTAAATAATATACATAGAAAATATCGTGACCAATAAACGATCATACATCATGAATCATACAAATGAATATACCGTGCGAGGGACTGTGGGACTATGGGAAGGAAGGCGGTGTGATAGACCGCTTGGTCATCGAGGACATCAAATATATTATACATACATATGTATACATACATACATTATACATACATAATGTTTCTGTAAGTATTTTATAATATATGTACATACATATATTATAAAATACTTACAGAAATATTATATAAATGTTACATACATTACAGAATTAAAAAGATTATTGAATTCTAAAAATTTTATTCAAAAGTCAATTATCTAGAGACTATATTAAATACCTATAATCTAAAGCTACGTACTAAGCAAATATTGTTGCATTTTTCTGTGTAATTTTAAAATATCCTTACTTAATTAATATTATTAATGCGAAAGAAACTTTGTCTGTCTGTCTGCGCGCTTTCACGCCAAAACTACTGAACCGATTATAATGATAATTGGTACACAGGTAGTCTACACCCTGAGACACAAAAAATGTAATATGGGTGGAGATAACAAATATATAATAAGACTAAAATCATTCGGATTTGCAGGCAGGAAGCTGTTCTGAAAGATTTATTTTATTTCGATTTACACTTTTTAAAAATAATCCGTATGTATGAAGATATTATTATTAGATTTATATAGAAAGAATATTAAATACTAAAAGGACAAAACAGTTAACGCAATTTAAACAAATCGTTTCTTCAGGTTTTTTTTCCTTAATATACATTTAAAAAAACTGTCTAATACGGTGGGTCGACCATAAAAGGCCATGGCCTACGTAATTATTTTGTAACAAAACATTTTACCAAGTACATAAAAGACATATATTTCGAAAGACAAAATGGCTCCTTATTGTCAAGTATAAATATATACAGCTTCATTAAATGAATTAATAAGACTTATTCATGTATTATATTGTGATAACTTTCTGGGCGAAATTGGAAATTCGAATTCAGGAGAAGTAAGCGGAGAGACCAAATGACTAATTTAGTTCTAATTAAATATTTTATATAGAGATGTCAATAAAAATTCATAACATATAATCCATTTATTGCAGGCAGATTTCAATATTATACATATTACATTAATATAAAATATTTATTATTATTAAGTATAAATAATAATAAATAAATACAGATTTAACCAAATTTCCTAACGTGAGTCGTTTCAGTTTACTGTTAAAATTCAATTGTTAATCTTCGTCATTCTGTCTGTCGCGGTGTTTTACTTTAGATACCATTAATGCAATTATTATTGATTTGAAATTTGACACGATTATCAAAAATATGATGATTCTTAAAGAGAAACTCAAAATGTTTAAATTGTACTACTAGGTTATGTAGTTGTTATTAGTATGTTAGGGGTATCTAATTAATGAATGGCATAAAGATTATTTTGAAAAATTTTATTAGACATTAATAGATTTTTTTTTAAGTTAAATATTAGCACTATTTTTGAGAAATCATGAAAAACTATACACAAACAAATTGCGTTCTGATTTTATAGCTATATTCTAAATAAATAACGGAATTACTAAATTTATTTTATTTTTGAAATATTAATGTACAGCGTATATTTATCGTAAGTTTTTCATACTATAGTCAGGTTTTTAATCCAGGAGACAAATTTGACATTACCGACGTTACGACCGACCAGATTATTGCTCTTTTAAATACGAGTAGGGTTGTGAACTATTGGAAATTAATATTATCGAAATAGAACTGCCTCTTTTATATAACAAATGACCTTCTTATAGTGTCATACATCATAAAATATAAACCTATTTAAAATATTATACTGTTTGAAAAAAAAAATGTTGGTTTGTAGCTTAATACTGTAAAAATTACTATTTGTACGGAAACGACAAAAAAAATTTTTTATGCTGTATAATACGATGACAGTAAAGGAAACAGTATATGTATACGCACGTATCTAGTATACGTACATAAATTTTAAAATTATGTCTTGGAAATGTCATTTAAAGGTATAAAAATAAGAATTAAAGACGCTTTATTTAATATTTTACAGTAAACATTTCAGATTTTCAATTTCACAGGTCTTTAGCAAGATGAAACAGATATATCAGTGTCATTACTATTGGCTAAAGCAAGGCATACCAAATTTTGTAATTGTGTTCTGACTACGGAACTAAGTTCTCGGTCAATTACATCGTTGACGACTACCGCAGGCAAACCGTTAATTCCATGAACCGGATCCATTGGTGCTCTTGATGCTTCTTCTGCAATGTCGTCCAAATCATCTAGGAGAGGATGTCTCACACAGTAATCGACTTCTACCAAATTGAGCCCCTCGTTTTGAGCGCAAATATAGCTGCTCTCTTCAAACGCTGGCTGTGGTATGCCGAACTCACAACCCATGTATCTCACTTGAGCATCTTGATTGCCTTTCAGGAAATTTAACACGCATCTATGGAGGCGATTGGCCCAGCAGTTATTTGGTGAAAACTGACAATTGTCATATGTACCATTGGGATGACGTGTAGTTCTTCCCCAAGGTATGAATTCCACGTCCAAGTATTCTCCGTAGATTGCGTACGTTGGAGTCAGGTGGTCAGTAATAAAAATACGTGTCCAAACACATCCTGCAGTTGTCAATATTCTAAGGTTTATTCTTCCATTCACAGCTTCTATTTCAGTTGCTGCGCTCCATATTAAACTACACAAAATTGTCGAAAATAAAATCTTCGAAACCATGACGTCTGTTTGTGTCCACAGTCAACAGTTAATAGAAATTTAACATGTCATTATATTTAGGTACAGTTAATGAAGGCAAGATAATTTAGTCAGATAAATTATGGATAATACCTATGAAAATACTATTAGGTTGATAATAAATAGCTATAAGAATATATCAAGGTCAGACGTAGATAGGAGTCGGAAAACTAGACGCGCAAGTAGATACTATATAAAAATAATGTGTGTTATATTTCAGTTTATATGAAAATTATGTGTGTAAAAAGCTTAATACTAAATTATTTGTGATAGTGTTCAACAGCAACCGTATCCCAGCGTGCCCCGTTAAATCAGACTTCAGGGACTGTTGTAGCCATATAGTTTCTGAATTAGATAAATATATTTTAAATTAATTAGGTAATGAGATTTGTACTTATAAGGCTGAAGTAAATATATAAATAGTAAAGATTAAATGCAATTATAATTGTAATATATAAAATGTATCTTAAAGAAAATTGATATAATCAAGTTTATTTTTTAGTACAAAACATAAGATCTGATTTGACCATAACGGGCCTACCTACCTATTGTATTTAAATATAATCATAACATTATGTGCATAGTCCAGTTTGGTTTTAATGCTCAAAGTGTAAAGTGTACTTTACACTTCGAGCGTTGACACTGAACTATATGAGTAAAAGACGAAGTTCATAGTTTCATATTTCGTTTGTTACCGCCCCTTGATTTATCAAAATACTTTTTTTATTGATATCTATTTCACTAAAACAAAGACTAATTACCTTTTTTACGAAACAGATGATCTCGTTTTATGTCATATTTCATTAAACATATACTATTTAAAAAGAATATATAGTGAATTTGTAGAGCTTAATACCGTAAATTATATATATGGATAGTTGGATTGAAATGGGGTCGACCGTATCTATTAGTATTATGGTTACCTATACAAGTATTGGAACGTACAGTGTACTTTCTAGGATTTCTACAGTTCTGTGCTGACAAAAGGATTCAGTAATTTAATCGTGCAGGTGAGGGTTATTTGTATATCCTTTATACTAGCTGTACCCGCGACTTCGTCCGCATAATAATGAAAAAATATTTAACTCAATTAACACAATATAAGTCAAATAAATAAGTTTCATCATTTTAGCTTAAAAAATGATAAAAAATAAAAATAAATATTTAATCAATAGGCTAAAAAATAAATTTCAAGCTTCTAGCTTTAAACATGACGATACATCTATATGACCTTGGATCTACCCTTTCAATCCTCTTGTAACCCTTTATCACATTAAAAAGTAACCTATGTCCTTTCTTAGGATCTAGTCTATCTATGTCTGTTTCAAATTTCAATTTAAATCGGTTCAGTATTTTTGGCGTGTCAGTGAGACAAACAGACAAAGTTACTTTCACATTTATAATATCAGTAAGGTATTTAATAAACTAACTCTAAAAAGACAAAGCAAAAAGTTTAATCGTTCTAGCTTCCACAATCACACAAACAGCAAATTTCCACAATAACTTTCATTCCCTATTTTATTTTACTACCCCCCCTCCCCCTAAGAGTAAAAATTTTACAAACATTGAATGTCATATTTATTGATATTTAAACAACAGGCTAAAAATGAGTCTCAAACTTCTAGTTTTAAAAAATGACGATTCTTCATACAGCGTACCATTGCAACCCCCTTACAATCCTTTTTTCACATTCAAAAGTACCCTATATTCTTTATCCGGGTGTAAATCTACCCCAAAAGAACCAATGAAAATAGTTTTATTGTTCTAGTTTCAAAAATTACGAATTTACACAATAACTATTATCCCCTATTTTATTTTACCCCCTTAAGGATAATTTTTATACAAACAATGAATGTCATATTTATTTATATTTAATCAACAGCCTCAAAAATAAGTTTCAAGCTTCTAGCTTGAAAAATGACGATTTTACATAAAAACTTTCATCCCCTATTTTATTTTGCCCCCTTAAGGTTAATTTTTTTACAAACAATGAATGTCATATTTATTTATATATAATCAACAGCCTCAAAAATAAGTTTCAAGCCTCTAGCTTAAAAAATGACGATTTTACATAAAAGCTTGCATCCCCTATTTTACTTTACCCCCTTAAGGGTAATTTTTTTACAAACAATGAATGTCATATGTGATTATATTGAATCAACAGTCTAAACAATAAGTTTCAAGCTTCTAGCTTCAAAAATGACGTGTTTACATAAAAACTTGCATACCCTATTTTATTTTACCCCCTTAATGGTAATTTTTTTACAAACAACAGCCTCAAAAATAAGTTTCAGGCTTCTAGCTTCAAAAATGACGATTCTTCCATACAATCTTTCATCCCCCCTTTTAACCCCTTACAACCCTTTTTTCGCATTAATAAGTAGCCTATGTCCGTTCTCAGGGTCTAGACTATCTGTGTACCAAATTTCATTCAAATCGGTTCAGTAGTTTTGGCGTGAAAGCGAAACAGACAGACAGAGTTACTTTCGCATTTATAATATTAGTTTTTGTCGCAGCACAAAAATATATTTTTATCGTTTCCGTACAAATAGTAATTTTACAGTATTAATCTACAAACCAACATTTTGTTTCTTACAATCAGCTAAATAATTTAAATAGTTTCATAATATATGACACAATGAAAAGGTCATTTATTTTATAAAAAAGACAGTTAGTTTTTATTTTAGTGAAAAATAAGAAAATTCTATTTTGATACAACAACCATATATTTATTGATACCTATATTTTATTAATTTTGTGTTAATGCTTTTTAAATAAACACCCACACATTATTTCTGTATAACCTACAAAAATGGGTAAATAATTTAATTTCGGATAGTGCCACACAAGAAATTGTGATTGTTATTAAGTTTTTTTTTAATAAGTTCGTCAGAATAGAGAAACAACATTTGACATTAATTATTATTTGACATTTGACATTGACTTTAATTTTTGTAATTTATATTGTAAAACTTTAAGTTGGGCTAAACAGGACTTGTATCCAGAGCCGTAAAACAAATTAATAAAAAAAAAATCACCAAATTTGTCTCGCAATCGGTCAATTTCAGGTTTAAAGAAAAAACACATACACACGATATACGATTTTATCATAAAAAAGTGTCAAAAACAATATTTTCGCTAAACGTCAACGTCATGTTTCCGGCAAGATCTTTCGTTTTACATTATGTTATCTATGGTTTTGTTCTCTGTGATGGATACCTTATTGGCGCAAACGCACGCGATGTGTTGATTGGTTGTTAGCTAGTGAAATGAAAAGATGGCGAATAAGTATTCAACCGCATAAAGATAACCTTGTATTTCCATTTTGAACCCCTTACAACCCTTTTTACGCATTAAAAAGTAGCCTATGTCGTTCCTCGGTGTCTAGACTATCTGCGTACTAAATTTCATTTAAATCGGTTCAGTAGTTTTGGCGTGAAAGCGAGACAGACAGACAGACAGACAGAGTTACTTTCGCATTTATAATAATAAATAATAAATAATATAATAATATATAATATAAATAATATATTATAATAAATAATAAAATAATAAATAATAGATAATAATAATATAATATAAAATATAGTAAGGAAGTAAGGATAAGGATGAAAATTACAAAAATGTATTATTGTCTCGTACGTAAATATATTGTGTTACTTTGCGTTACTTAATTACGTAGAAAACTTTCAAACTAATGGTCTAAAATAAAAAAATACGATTCAACAAAACAGTATCGTACTATTACCCTGTAACATTATTTGAAAACTTGAGATTTACACTTGTCAATTGAGTGTCCGAGATTATAAAACGGATTATAGTATAAATTATTTCATTACTATATTCATACATACCTATAAATACCTAAAATATATTTTTACTACCTTTGCTCGCGGTTCTTGCTAATCTCTGAAACGGCAGGACCTCAGAATTAATAGTAACTTTCTGTTTCATTTTAGGTATCTATTTATTATAATTCTACGCACATTAAGTCTGACAACGTCTAACGATTAGCAAAATATAAATAAATATAAACCAGGTCAGTCAATTCAGAAGGTATTTTTATTTTTCACCACACTTGTATTGTACAGTATTCAATCAAAAATCATTTTTGAAATAAAACTACCATTTATTAATAGCAAATTTGCACCTATACAACAATATTATATGTAAAATGGTTTTAATCGATCCTTTTCGCTAGTTTATATATACTATACGTATTAGGATGAATCTCAATGCCCGCAGTTTAATGCGCTGAAATGCGGTAGTACGCGATATTTTACTTCATCAGCCTTAGAAATTAAGTTATTGCTTAAAACGAACAACTCTACCTCTGACATACTATTGTATTCTACAAATAAATGATTAAATTTGATTTGATTAGATATTTATCATCATTACATATATAAAACGAAGTCGCTGTCGCTGTCTATCCCTATGCATGTATAAATCTTTAAAAGTACGCAACGGATTTTGAAGCGGTTTTTTTAAATAAATAGAGTGATCAAGAGGATGGTTTATATGTATATATATATCCGTAATACATGTATATCCGTGCGAAGCCGGGGCGAATAGCTAGTTTATTAATATAATGAAGGCAAAGTAAAAACAAACAATAATGAAAAGATTATTGCAATATCAAAGAACTGTTCCAGAAATGATGGCTACAGACGTTATCGTTATGTTTCTTATCTAGAGAATTTTACGCCATTACGCATATTATCAGTGCCGGAATGATTGTCCAATTGGCCAAGTTTGTCGATAACAAGCCAGCAAACTTGGATATTTAGCACAAAAGTATTAAAATCACAGGCCACGGGTTTCAACACAGATAAGAACTTCTCCAATTCTCAAATTGCCATCGTGAATAACGGACTACTCGCGAAGCTGTCATATTTATTTTATGTCTGGAATGGAAACACAAATTGATCAATTTTTGGAAGTGACAACCGTCACTTATATACATGAACAGTACTATAAAAGTATTTATATATACTGCTGATATATATATATATATATAGTAGCTGTCATATAGCTTGTTTCGTAAGCTGTTTTTTTAAATAAAAGATATACATCCTTATGCTAACATGTAAACCAAGTAATTTAATCAATTAGATTATTTTGTCCCAGTACATATAAGACTACCACGCATTTGTCACATATTTTAAATAAGTATATCCCTTTATGTAATGACAATTGTTAAAATTAAATCTTGCGAAGTAAAATTAAAATTGGGTAATGAAACAAAGTAAATTAAACAAAAACAGTAGAACACAAATATTTTAATTATGTTAATTTCAACTGTTCTTAATATACTTCAGTAAGATCCATAATGATAATAAAAATCTTGGACTATTCACACAGCGCCATCTACCCGAAACTTAAGGTATGAAAATAATATTTGTAATTTTTGTTTTAAATACATAGTATAAATAAAAACACTCTGTCCAATAAACATAATCATACCCATCAATACAAATATTTGTGTCCAAGAATGGACCCCGCTATCAAAAGGAGTAAGGCGTGCTAAGCCGCCATCATCAAGACTGTCCAAAACGTTGGTGCAAGAGAAAAAAAGTCGAAGTAATACGCCGTCTAGTAATAAGCCGTCTGGTTAGTATTGGAAATACTAGCAAATGGTTTAAGGATATTAATATTAGACTGAAATAGAATATGAATAAGTCCCTCCTTTATGGGATTTATTCACAACGAAGATAATAATAAAATTTTTGTAAATCAATAATGTTCACTGCAGATACATTCGACATGAATAACATAATATGTTAGTAATAATACATAATAAACAATGTGATTTTTAATTTGTTTAACTAAAGTATGAAATTATTATATTATCTTCTACGAGTATATGGAACTTTATTATTTAACTATTCAGATGTTGTTAGAACACTTCAAAAAATGACCTATGCCGAACTGCAATTACAGCTTCACTGGTATAATATATAAATACAACCTGTATTTATTAGTTTTTTATAATTTATGCTATTGTTTGACAAAAAGGAAATTCATCTCACCGTAAATATAAATAACATATTTATATTCATATATATTATTCAATTAAATTATTAACTTGGTTAATTATTATCGACATGACAGAAAGATACACCAGTGTCCTCATTATCGGCAAATGCAAAACACAGCATACTCTCTAAACGGTTTAATGCTTCATTGTGTTCCGCAAGCACGGCATTGTCATTGAAAACTATGGCAGGAATAAAATCAATAACTTCTAAAGGCTCTTTTGTTGCTTCTTCTGCTATATCGTCTAAATCATCAATATCACGATTATTCATACAGTAATCGACGTCAATTAAACTGACTCCTACATTTTGAGCACAAATATAACTGCCATTATGGAAACTGGGTTGTAAATCCACCTCACGGAACTCACATTGCATATATTTCATTTGGGCATCAGAGTCCTCTCTCAGTATGTTTAACACACATCTATGGAGACGATTGGCCCAGCAGCCCGGCAATTGAAACTGGCAATAATAATATGTACCATTCGGGTATCGCACAGTTCTTCCCCAAGGCACGAACTCAATTTCCAATAGTTCTTTGTAGGCTGCGTAAGCTGGCGCCAGGTGATCGTTAATGAAATTCACAGTGTCGACACATCCTGCTGTTGTAAATGTTGTAATTTTAATCCTACCATCTACCACTTGCAGTTCACCTGTTACTGCCACTATGGTGCACAATAAAATTGATACCAAAATGTTCTTAAAATTAATCACGTCCATTTTTATTGAGTATCAAAGTAATAATAAATATTAAACTATGTACGCAATCGGAATAGATAAGTTTATTTACTCTTTAATCTATGGAAAAGATACCGGTTTGTTTTTTAATTTCGGAGATTTATTTTGTTAGGTACATACGTATTTAATTACATTTTGCATAATTAATGACACACTACCAGGAATTGTTGTGACACATAAATTCTTACAAAATCATTACAATCCCAATTTCAAATATTAATAATAATAATAATATAAATATCCATACCATCCCTTGCAAATATTTCTTGATAATGATAACAAAAAAATAATTGAACTGTTTAGAGCCTCATATTTTAAATATGTTTTTGTGGCGCTCGTGTTATGGTTCTAATTTGAATATATATAAATATAGCCGGCATTACGCTTTTCTTAGATATAAATTTAACATTCCAATGTAGATTCCGTGACTATTTTATATATTTAGTTCACATTTGTATCGTACATAACAATTTAATAATAAAACTCTATTGAAACCTTTGCCAGTAAATATGTTAGATATTTGAATTCCTGACATATTTTGGAATTTAAGAACTTTTGAATATATTAAAAGAAAATATATTGCAAATGAATAGAAGGGCGGTGATCATGTATGGTGTTAGTTTTCAGGTACTATATTTTAAATTTAATATGTTAGACCTACACATTTTTCAATATTATGTAAAAAAGACCGATTAAAAAATATAATACAAGTATAGTTTCTTGCAAGTTCTTCTGAACAGAAGTACTTAGTCGAATTAAATAGTAGGGATAGTGATTAATAATTATTTGGCATGCATGAGTGGCAATAACTTTGAATTTGAAAACTATTTTTGAACTTCACATGCTGAATACACAGTATACATAAAGGTTTATTCAGTGTGACTTTACCTACAATAATACCAAAACATTTTTAAACAGAACTAAGTCTACAACCGTAATTTATCGAGGAAAAACAGCAGGTATTAAATTACGGTTAATACGTTTAAAAATGTACGAACCACCCTTCTTAGAGCCGAGGTACCAACCGCAGTATTAATGAAATTGACTTCCCTGGGGAAAGAACCCGAGACCCCTAACGTCATGGTTCCCCCTCCAGTTGAGTTGCGGCTACAACATTCCGGAAGTTAAAAACATAGGTATCGATGGTTTATCGAATTAATGGGTTTCATATAGAAAAAAAAATAATAATAACAATAACATTTACTGAGCAAAGCCTATTACGCACTAAACGATTACTTAAAAGACGATCGTGCATGGCAATAGTTGTTCATCCACGGGATTTTCATTTAATGTTAGACATAGACCTATATATATACATATACTACTCCTGTTTATTTACAATGTATATAACATTGTAACATGTATATAACATTGTAAATAAACTGGCTTTTAAAATAAATAAATGAAATATTCAATTGAGTTTCTTGCCAATTCTTCTCAATTAGATCTTACTGAACTGGACGGTACGGAAAAAAATATATGAAATATAAAAAAATTTGACGTTCATAAGCGGCTGAAATGTCCTACAACAATGAATGAATTTTGAATTGGAAATAATAATAAAACAAAACAAAAGCTTAGAAAATTAGATAACAGTGAAAACAATAATAATAATAAAACATACAATAATAATAATAATATGACGAATATAATTGTCCAGGGACAATTCACTTGTGTAATGGGTACTAGACAACTGATATAAATGTTTAGATATCAATTTTTATAAATACATACATAATATAAATAGAGTAAACCCAGAACGATACAAACAATCATATTCATGAATACAAATGTTTGTATCGTGCGAGGAATCGACCCCGCGACCATCGAAAGTAAAGCGGTGGATTTAACCGTTAGACCATTAAAAAATATGGATACCTAAGTTTTATTTACTGCATATTAAGTTTAGGTTTAATTAATTTACTTACGTTTATATAGAGAACTTAGTATGTACTTATACACATATTAGGTTTGACGACATTTCAATTGACAGATAAAAAGTATAGCTAGGTACTTGAAGTAGATAAAAGTAATTTCCTAATAACAGTTCTTAAGGAAAGTTCGATCAAAAGGCAAAAAATAATAATGAAGTAAATTATAATCATTATTGAATTATAAATAAATTAATATCTAATAATAATCAATTACATTAAAAGTAAATAATCATTTTCATTAATTCATCTTAATCGAAAAAAAAGTATTTTTCGAGATTCCATCATATTGTTTCCGTAAGTGACTACAAACAACGAAATTGAATAAGTACTTTCACAGTTTTGATTTAAAGTTTTTACGAGTTTCCCGCAATCTCGTCAACTGATATCACACACAAGGGACTTAATAACACCCTAGAAATCTCGCTAATGTTAATTAATTTAAATTGCGCCCGCCAAAAGTCACAACTTTGAACTCGTCTCGACCCCAAAGCTAAATCCTGTCTACAAACGACTGCTAAAACTTAACGACTTCATACATCCCCATCTACAGTTACAATGGGGATCGTAAAATTAATACCTTACCTCTGAATCGTCGGGTTGCCTCTCTGGATGGTAATTCCCCTTAAAATATTTAAGTTTTCTGTAGACCCTCCGCCCGCAACAAGATTCAATTTCACGCCCTGGCAAGGGGTCCGTTTTGGACGATTTTCGACTCCTCAAACGCCAGGAGACATGTAAGCGACCAGCTATAAAGATCTCTAATTGTTTAATACTTTCTCTTTCTTCACAGCTATCACGGTATAGAGTGTTGTAAGGAATAAGGTCAAGTTATATTGGTATACCGAACAGAACTAGTTGAAGTATTATCTGGATGCACAGAGAATGGAAATGCCGTGAACTCAATTGAATCAATCTTGCGTCAAATTGTTAAAGGTTGAAGAGAGATATATGTAGGTACATTTTAAGTCCTATTAGTATTTGAAATTGTCAATGTAATGGTAGTTATATTATTATTTGTATTAATGACGAATACCTTTTATATTTATTAGGTAAATGAGTATTAACTATGGTCCTAATATAAAAATGGTAATATGTTATTATATTACTTTTCTAAAACTAATGTTTGAAATTATATTATATTATCATAACAGTGTAAATATATTTTTATTATTTGAATTGTCTGCCTTTTTCTAATATAATCTAATAGAGTTAGATAATGTTGGAGTTAATATTTCCTTTTACCGTACTACATTTAATTCTAGGTGGCATGATGTTAAATTATAAAATATTAGCCATTAATATTTCACCCTTACCTAATAGCTAAAGTAGCTAATTTAATTTCCGTTTTTTGTAATAAACCTCTCACCATGCGCCTTTCTATTACAGATCTTGGTTTATGATTAGAATTTATTGGTAGACAGGTGACTGCAAATTAACAAAGTCACTGCAAATGATTCAAGATTGGGAGAGGGGATTGCTACTTATGGGGATACTTGACCTATTGTTAACAATGTATTTTGTTAGGTACAATCACTAAGAAATTCCTTCTGGAAACTATCGCTCATTCGTAAATAATTTACCAAGTTAGTCTAATCCCAGTTTCCTTAATGCCACCGCCATCGTCATTATCATCATTTTAGCTTGGAAGACGTCCACTGCTGAACAAAGGCTTTCCCCAAAAATCTCCACGATGATCTGATCAGGTCAGACCACTGTGCTCGCATCCGCCATCAAGCGATCTTGACAAGATCCACCTTTTCGGAAGCCTTTCCACGCTGCGTCTTCTAATCTGAAGGTGCCACTCGAGGACTTTATAGCCTAACCCAACGGCCTGCCCTACAAATTGTATTGCCTTAAATCATTTCGTAAATAAGCCATTTTTCCCGTAAAATGTACCTAAAGAATAAAAAATGGTTGTTGTGGGTTATCCTTAAGAGATAGACATATACCACTACGGACTTTTTTGTTGACTTTTTAAGATGTACAATACTGTAGTACATTATTTAATTTATCTCGTGGGGTTCAACCAGCGTTTGCAATGTAAGCGCAAAAAAATGTATTTATTTACAACATCACTCTCCTCTCTAAATTTATAAATGTTCTCTATAATATTATGCATGTATTGTACATATAAACATTCCTCTTGAATCACTCTATCTATTAGAAAATCCCGCTTTATAAACCGCTGCGTACTTTTAAAGATTTAAGCATACATAGGGATAGACAGCGACAATGACTTTGTTTTATACTATGTAGTGATAATATAAACTCTATGACATGCCGAAATAATGATCCTTCACAGTAAAATCTCAAATCCACGCTCAAATATGCCAGAGATGGCATATTTGAGCGGTTAGGTTTGAAGCCAGTAGAAAAGAATAAAGTAACATTAATACTAAAAAAGTGCACAGACTAAGATTTACTGAAACAGATAAAACTTAGAGATAGATATCAATACTAAAGTCCTGGAAACAAATTCGAAGACTCTCCGCAGATTCTTATCGGGTCAACTTTAGTAGAGGGCTGCCATCTTTGTTAATTAAAAATTTACGAGGTACTCTTTTGAAACTACTACAGTTTGAGCGTACTACACAGACGTACAGTCGACTTGATATAAATTGTAATAACAAGGATGGCTAAAGTTTCGTAATTAATTTTACTTATAATAATATCGTAAACTTGTAACGAGGCGAAAATGTGTCTGATTATTTATTAGACATACACGTAAAATTACTAAATGACTAACGACGATACTTTGACAGAATATGTTGTTTAAAAATGAACCAACATAAAGGGTAGAAAGCTGGAAAAAATTACTTCCAGAAGTAATTATTATTTTTCTATTAATTTTAATACGCCAACTACAAATTGACTTAATTCATTAATAATAGATGACGCCGAATATATGCGGTATTTATAGTTGATGTTTGATTTTCAAAAATAGATGTCGTTTTAATCGTCTTAATATCTTTATGAAACTGACAGTACTTTCTCTATGTAGAATGTTGATACTATCGAAGTTTACTATTACGTTAGTATAGACTACGGAACGAGCCAAACTAGAACATTCTATATTTATAGAAGTCGTATTCGTCGACAGGAGTAAGCCTTCAGCTGATTCATAAGTCCTTTAGCGGGTTTCGAGTATCCACTGCACTCGCTCCCATTATTACCCAGTGAAGTTGTAAAACCAACTACGGTTAACATGATTAGAATAAAATAAGAGAAGTTACTCTAAAGAACAAAAATTAAATCCAGACTAGTTTCAACAGCGTTCAATATCAATATAATATATAGCCTATGTGTTATTCTGATGCATAAGCTATATTACTGTAAAGTTTCATCCAAATCTGTTCAGTAGTTTTTGCGTGAAAGAGTAACAAACATCCATACTTACAAACTTTCGCATTTATAATATTACTAGCTGTACCCGCGACTTCGTCCGCGTAAATAATGAAAAAATATTTAACTCAATTAACACAATATAAGTCAAATAAATAAGTTTCATCATTTTAGCTTAAAAAATGATAAAAAATAAAAATAAATATTTAATCAATAGACTAAAAAATAAATTTCAAGCTTCTAGCTTTAAACATGACGATATATCTATATGACCTTGGATCTACCCTTTCAATCCTCTTGCAACCCTTTTTCACATTAAAAAGTAACCTATTACCTTTCTCAGGATCTAGTCTATCTATGTCTGTTTCAAATTTCAATTTAAATCGGTTCAATATTTTTGGCGTGTAAGCGAGACAAACAGACAGACAAAGTTACTTTCACATGTATAATATCAGTAGGGTATTTAATAAACTAACTCTAAAAAGACAAAGAAAAAAGTTTAATCGTTCTAGCTTCCACAACCACACAAACAGCAAATTTCCACAATAACTTTCATTCCCTATTTTATTTTACTACCCCCCCTCCCCCGAAGAGTAAAAATTTTACAAACATTGAATGTCTAAAAATGAGTCTCAAACTTCTAGTTTTAAAAAATGACGATTCTTCCATACAGCGTACCATTGCAACCCCCTTACAATCCTTTTTTCACATTCAAAAGTACCCTATATTCTTTGTCCGGGTGTAAACTAACTGTGTTTAAATTTTTTAAATTTCATTTAAATTTTTGTTTTGTTTTGGAGCGTAAGACTGACAGAAAGACAAACAGACTTACTTTCACAGTTATAACATTAGTGGGGTATTTAAAAATCTACCCCAAAAGAACCAATGAAAATAGTTTCATCGTTCTAGTTTCAAAAATTACGAATTTACATAATAACTATCATCCCCTATTTTATTTTGCCCCCTTAAGGGTAATTTTTTTACAAACAATGAATGTCATATTTATTTATATTTAATCAACAGCCTCAAAAATAAGTTTCAAGCCTCTAGCTTAAAAAATGACGATTTTACATAAAAATTTGCATCCCCTATTTTATTTTACCCCCTTAAGGGTAATTTTTTACAAACATTGAATGTCATTTTTATTTATATTTAATCAACAGTCTCAACAATCAGTTTCAAGCTTCTAGCTTCAAAAATGACGTGTTTACATAAAAACTTGCATCCCCTATTTTATTTTACCCCCTTAAGGGTATTTTTTACAAACAATGAATGTCATATGTATTTATATTTAATCAACAGTCCCAACAATAAGTTTCAAGCTTCTAGCTTCAAAAATGTCGAATTTACATAAAAATTTGCATCCCCTATTTTATTTTACCCCCTTAAGAGTAATTTTTTACAAACATTGAATGTCATTTTTATTTATATTTAATCAACAGCCTCAAAAATAAGTTTCAAGCTTCTAGCTTCAAAAATGACGATTCTTCCATACAATCTTTCACCCCCTTTTAACCCCTTACAACCCTTTTTTCGCATTAAAAAGTAGCCTATGTCCGTTCTCAGGGTCTAGACTAACTGTATACCAAATTTCATTCAAATCGGTTCAGTAGTTTTGGCGTGAAAGCGAGACAGACAGACAGAGTTACTTTCGCATTTATAATATTAGTTTTTGTCGCAGCACAAAAATATATTTTTATCGTTTCCGTATAAATAGTAATTTTACAGTATTAATCTACAAACCAACATTTTGTTTCTTACAATCAGCTAAATAATTTAAATAGTTTCATAATATATGACACAATGAAAGGGTCATTTATTTTATAAAAAAGACAGTTTTTATTTTAGTGAAAAATAAGAAAATTCTATTTTGATACAACAACCATATATTTATTAATACCTATACTTTATTAACTTTGTGTTAATGCTTTTTAAATAAACACCCACACATTATTTCTGTATAACCTACAAAAATGGGTAAATAATTTAATTTCGTATAGTGCCACACCACAACATTCTTTAAAAAATGTAAATAATAGAATGTGAAGAAATTGTGATTGTTATTAAGTTTTTTTTTAATAAGTTCGTCAGAACAGAGAAACAACATTTGACATTTATTATTATTTGACATTTGACATTGACTTTAATTTTTGTAATTTATATTGTAAAACTTTAAGTTGGGCTAAACAGGACTTGTATCCAGAGCCGTAAAACAAATTAAAAAAAAAATGGCCAAATTTGTCTCGCAATCGGCCAATTTCAAGTTTAAAGAAAAAACACATACACACGATATACGATTTTATCATAAAAAAGTGTCAAAAACAATATTTTCGCTAAACGTCAACGTCATGTTTCCGGCAAGATCTTTCGTTTTACATTATGTTATCTGTGGTTTTGTTCTCTGTGATGGATACCTTATTGGCGCATACGCACGCGATGTTTTGATTGGTTGTTAGCTAGTGAAATGAAAAGATGGCGAATGGCGCAAAACCACGCGAAGTGTTGATTGGTTGTTAGATAGTGAAATGAAAAGATGACGAATAAGTATTCAACCGCATAAAGATAACCTTGTATTTCCATTTTGAACCCCTTACAACCCTTTTTACGCATTAAAAAGTAGCCTATGTCCTTCCTCTGCGTCTAGACTATCTGCGTACTAAATTCCATTTAAATCGGTTAAATAGTTTTGGCGTGAAAGCGAGACAGACAGACAGACAGACAGACAGAGTTACTTTCGCATTTATAATATTAGTAAGGAAGTAAGGATATTTAATCAACAGTCTCAACAATAAGATTCAAGCTTTTAGCTTCAAAAATGACGTGTTTACATAAAAACTTGCATCCCCTATTTTATTTTACCCCCTTAAGGGTAATTTTTTTACAAACAATGAATGTCATATGTATTTATATTTAATCAACAGTCTCAACAATAAGTTTAAGCTTCTAGCTTCAAAAATGACGTGTTTACATAAAAACTTGCATCCCCTATTTTATTTTACCCCTTAAGGGTAACTTTTTACAAACATTGAATGTCATTTTTATTTATATTTAATCAACAGTCTCAAAAATAAGTTTCAAGCTTCTAGCTTCAAAAATGACGATTCTTCCATACAATCTTTCATCCCCCCTTTTAACCCCTTACAACCCTTTTTTCGCATTAAAAAGTAGCCTATGTCCGTTCTCAGGGTCTAGACTATCTGTATACCAAATTTCATTCAAATCGGTTCAGTAGTTTTGGCGTGAAAGCAAGATAGACAGACAGAGTTACTTTCACATTTATAATATTAGTTTTTGTCGCAGCACAAAAATATATTGTTATCGTTTCCGTACAAATAATAATTTTACAGTATTAATCTACAAACCAACATTTTGTTTCTTACAATCAGTTAAATAATTTAAATAGTTCCATAATATAAAGGTCATTTATTTTATAAAAAAGACAGTTAGTTTTTATTTTAGTGAAAAATAAGAAAATTCTATTTTGATACAACAACCATATATTTATTAATACCTATACTTTATTAATTTTGTGTTAATGCTTTTTAAATAAACACCCACACATTATTTCTGTATAACCTACAAAAATGGGTAAATAATTTAATTTCGGATAGTGCCACACCACAACATTCTTTAAAAAATATAAATAATAAAATTTGAAGAAATTGTGATTGTTATTAAGTTTTTTTTTTAAGTTGTTCAGAACAGGGAAACAACGTTTGACATTTATTATTATTTAACATTGGACATTGACTTTAATTTTTGTAATTTATATTGTAAAACTTTAAGTTGGGCTAAACTGGGCTTGTATCCAGAGCCGTAAAACAAATTAATAAAAAAAATCGCCAAATTTGTCTCGCAATCGGCCAATTTCAGGTTTAAAGAAAAAACACATACACACGATATACGATTTTATCATAAAAAAGTGTCAAAAAACAATATTTTCACTAAACGTCAACGTCATGTTTCCGGCAAGATTTTTCGTTTTACATTATGTTATCTGTGGTTTTGTTCTCTGTGATGGATACCTTATTGGCGCAAACGCACGCGATGAGTTGATTGGTTGTTAGATAGTGAAATGAAAAGATGGCGAATGGCGCAAACGCACGCGATGTGTTGATTGGTTGTTAGCTAGTGAAATGAAAAGATGACGAATAAGGATTCAACCGCATAAAGATAACCTTGTATTTCCATTTTGAACCCCTTACAACCCTTTTTACGCATTAAAAAGTAGCCTATGTCCTTCCTCTGCGTCTAGACTATCTGCGTACCAAATTTCATTTAAATCGGTTCAGTAGTTTTGGCGTGAAAGCGAGACAGACAGACAGACAGACAGACAGACAGACAGAGTTACTTTCGCATTTATAATATTAGTAAGGATATTATGATTAAGATATCCATTAGGTATAGACACAACAGCCTATATACGTTATACTGAACGGGTGTTGTCTGATTACTATGAATGATTTATTTTGCTCTTGAAATGACTATTTATTAACTTTTTCGATAAAATATATTTTTCTACTTATTTCCTATCAGGACTCGATCGAAAAACAACGGAATTTGCTTTTGAAATATTGTTTGGTTGAATGGCCATCTCCGCAGTAACGGCGTAATAATAGTTTCCAATAAGCAATAACTTCCATTTCACTAAACTTTTGTATTGGCTAATTTATTTACAAGTTTCGCATGCATAAGAGTACAAAACGCTTTGAACTCATACTCGTAATATGAATTATTATAATTCAGTGCAGTATTATTATCCAGATTATATGATCAAAAAGACGACAGGAGCGACCTTGACAAGATGTATCGTATATCGAAGAAGGTGGATAATTATGTAAGAAGCATACGTCCAGCAGTGGACCATATAATGAAGAAGAATAAGAAATACATTTTTTTATTTATTTACCTTATAATGCTAATGAAAAACTTATATGGCATAAACTGTTGATCCGGCCGCATATGGAATACTGTTCTCATCTCTGGGCGGGAGCACCACAATACCAGCTACTTCCATTTGACCGCATTCAGAACCGAGCAGCCAGAATCATTGGTAACATAAACGTAACCGGGTGTACATGTATTATACATATAAACCTTCCTCTAGAATCATTATATCCGTTGCGTAGTTTTAAAGATATAAGCATACTAGGGACGGACAGATAGCGACAGCGATTTTGTTTTATACTATGTAATGATTTGTAGTTAAGCCTATGTATGTGTACTAAGATACTATTTTATTTATCTATCTATAAGCATGGCCTTCAATGGCGCAACTACCTTAAGTATGTATATAGTATTAAAAAAAATAACGTCAGTACTATAATGAGTTGGATTATATAAAATGGAAATATGCGTATGTTATTTGCAAAGTTCATAGTCGAGTTGTCTCTGTATAAATACTTAAACTGAGACTACTATCCTGGTGAAGTATGCGAAAACTAAATATAACTCCGACGCAGGTGTTCTCTCAGAATTCACTAGATTATGAAATAACTTACATGTTTATGTTCTCCTAGCATATAATCTATGTTTTAACTTGGAACTTAATGTATTATCACAATTCTGTTAACCTGGTTGAAATATATATATTTAAATACGATATATTTTAAAAAAGTTGGAAAGATTAGTTTTGAAATACGTAATAATATTATCAATGCAAAATAATGTCTGACTATCTATCTGTCTTTTTGTTACATTGCACAATTCAATGACTAAAAGTATTTTAAAGACTACCTCGGTGGTCTAGCACACCGCCTCACTTCCGATGGTCGCGGGTTCGATTCCTCGCACGGTACGAACATTTGTATTCAAGGCTATGATTGTTTTTAGGAAAAAAAGTCTAAAATATTTGTATTTTGTCTAGTACCCATAATACAAGCTCTAGCTAGCTTAACTTGGAACTATATGGCACTGTGTGAGTTGTTCTGAGATATTATTATTATTTATATTAATTTTTAGACTGACTTATCTTACTGACTGATCGACATAGACTTTTTTAACTCAAAAAACAAGCGGACAGAGTTACAAAGCTAGTGATGATATAAAACAGTTCTCTACTTACCGAATTCTTTAAAACAACTACCTCTTTATTTAGCTTTACATGTTAGCATAGCTTTCCAATTTGGTTTATACAAAAATGCAGGTTTACACGGCAAGTAGAGCACAATTTTGCCTCAATTTTCCGTGCCAATAGGCCTCGTCGGGTGCGGTGGAGCTATTGCCAATAAACAATATCTTCCGGTCGGGTGGGCCACGAGCGAGGATACTAATTAGGGGCATGAGAACCCGATCAAAAAGATCCTTTGATGCGAAACTGAAAAGGTGACAACGATAGTCGGCGAAGCGTGAACCATCAATGTTTTGGAAGGAATGAACATGATCGTACTTTATTTTTAATAAAGGTTTATATTTAATTGGTTGAAACAAGATTGTAAATGTCAACTTCTGGGCGCCCTTCTACGGAATAAAAATATTATAGTACTTCTTGCTATCTAGTAGTACTTGCAGTCTGCACGAAGAAAATTATAGATATACGCATAGCTTTTAAGTTTTCTCCATTATAATTAATTTCAGAAGTAGATATGCAAAATAAAAAAAAAGAAATAGTGAATGTTATAGCGTTACTACTAAAGTATGAATCTGGCTGATACCAAAATTAAATTCTTTTGTGTGTCAATTTATATTTATGATTTACTCTTCAGTAACGGGAACATTGATAACAAACTAAATATTAAACTGACATCCAGTGGTAGGCTTGCTCCATATCACGTTGGATTCAATGCTAATGACTCTGACTACCACATCTAGGATAATAGTCCTGACGGTATATTTTTAACCTTATTTATAAAAAAATGAAGCAAATATTTGCCTAATACATATCAATATAATTAT